GTTTTCTTGCCTGTTTACAATAGGATCCGCACGATAATAACGTGCGGACATCCGGATAAGAGAATAACTGATATATATATATATATATATATATATATATATCTCTCTCTCTCTCTTTTTGCCAAGAGAAAAGATGAGTAGTGGCTGTCGAGGATATTTTTTTTAAAAAAATTTAAGTGGTGGTGGTCATTTGGGTGTGTTGAGTAATTCCCTGGAGGGTTAGGTTTGGGTTGGGGGTTGGGTCTGGCGAGGGGAGGGGAGAAAAAAAAGAGGTAAAGAGGAGAAAGAAGTAGAGAGAATAGAGAATAGTGAAGAGGGAGGAGGAGGAGGAGGAGGAGGAGGGGGTGGGGGTGGGGTGTGATGGAGGTTGGGTCAGGGAGGGGAGAGAAGAGAGAGAGAAGATAAGGAGCTAAAATTACTAGAATACACATACCACGTCAACACACTAAACAATTTTGTGGATGGAAATAGACGGAAGTGGTAAAATGAGAAAATTTCAGCAATTTTTAGAGATTTATGGGGTTAAATGAGAAAATTTAAATTTAAAGGGGTAAAGTGAGATCGAGCGTTTGTTTTATGGGGCGAAACAGTAAATAAGCATTGTTTATTTTCGGGAAAAAGTCATTTTTGGTCTTGTTTTATTATTTTAGTTTCAAATCGGATCAATTTGAGGACATGTTACAAAATTTGTTAAAATATCTTCAATTTCATTACAAACTATAAAGAATAATACTAGTCTTACCACAATTTTATACCACATGATGTGAAAGTTGATGTGTACATACCACATTAGCTAATTAATGTGATTAACACTTTTTTAATTTATTAAATTGATTTAATTGATGTGACATATGATATGAACATGTCACATCATGTGGTATGAAAATGTAGGATAAAAATGTGGTAAGTGTAGCATTACTCTTATGTAAAATCTCATATTCAAAACATAATGAAATTGAAAGGATTTTGACAAAATTTTGAATTGCTCATATTTAAAATTACAATGATAAAGTTTATAAAATTGAAACTACGATAACTAAACTGATAAACTGACATACTATGAGGACTCAAAGTGACTTTTGAGCAAAGACCCATTAGTGTAGTGGTTTGGAACAATTGCTCCTTCAAAAAAGGTCATGAGTTCCTATCATCCGTGTAGTGTATGTGAGTTTAACATTTATCGCCTTTCGCAACAGAAAAATTATAAAGATGAAAAATAAGTCAAAGGTTGGAATGCATATAATTAGTAATGTCGGTAGGTAGGTGGCCCTTGATATATATAAGAAAGTTTTATTGTGAGCATGTTAATATGAATGGATGATTATATACTAGCGTAGCGTGTGAGCAATTGTGGAGTGATTTGGTAAAAGAACATTTCTACGCATATGATTATGCAAAACCCAAGTGTATTAGATAAATCCAATCTTCTTTTTTGCTTTTTCTTTTTCTTTTTCTTTTTTGTGCATTTGATAATTTTTTACTAGTATGCTATTTTTAGATAAATAACATATATTTTTGGAAGGAGACAAGACAAACTCTTTTCGACTCTCACTTTCCTGGTTTTCCTTCCTTCTGGGACAAGACAAGGCAATGCTCATTGTGTGACTCCAATTACTTAGTCACCTCCAATTACTTCAGAAAAGGTGATGGGTTATGCTTAATTACTCCAATTACTTTAGGATCCTTTTTTTATTTTGGGTGTGAAGTGAAGTTTGGGAGCTCAAGAATTGTAGTTGAGAATGTTGGGTTGGTTTATACAAAGTGTACATTGCAGTGGGTGAGTGTAGCCATTCTTTGTTGGTCAGCCCATGATGTCGCTTCCATTCCAAGTACAACAATTGTGACTTATCTACTGTAGAATTTCAATGAGTGTTGAATATATACCCAAAGTCTAATCGTTATCTTCATCCTTTTTGAAAAAGACAATCAATTTTATCAAATTCAAACCCGACCCACTCATTCATATAATCCCTTTTTCCTTTCACTTTTTGAAATTTTGTATGACTACACTTTTTTGTTCGTAAAAGCGATAATCTATTTTAAATTATTTTAAATTACGAAAATAAGGATTCGAATTCGAGTGCAAAGTGTGAAGCGCATCTGTTTTAGTCCACTTGAATAAGCCCATATCTGCTTGATGACTACACTTAAAAAGGCCAAATTGTGAAGTTCAAAATAATAATTGTGTGCTTCATATAGCAACACTGTAAAATAACATATATTCAATAGACCCCTCGAGTGTTGGCCCAAACCCAATGCTAGGAGCCTGAGGCCCATCCTCCTATCCTATGTATTTATTCATTGAACATTAGTCTTTTTTTTTTCTTCTTTTCTTTCTTTCTTGATTTGTTTCAAGAATCAAATGCCAAAACCATAAATTAGTTTTAAGCAGGATGCAAAGAGAATGTGGAGGAAAGAGTTTGCAGATGCAGATATTGAGGCCACACATTGAGAAGGAAAACTATTGGTTAGATTATGAATTTATTGATGTAGGCCACATTCATTAAGAAGGATCATATAAACACTCTTTCCTTGTATTGATTTTGCTTTTCAGCCCTTAATCTTTCACAAAATTTAAAATCTTCAATCCATTACTATGATACAATCACTAAGCAAGAGCAAGCTGTTGATCTATGCAACCCTTGAAGAACAATTCGTAGACTTGATGATCTTCATAGCTCTAGCACCACAACTGTCCAAGCCAAAAAATAATTTCAGGGTTAGTTGAATAGATTTTTAGCAACTTAAACTTCAAGCAAACAGAAAATAAAAGTTGGTTGATTAGGAGAGACTCTAGGAGGAAGCATGTCTTACATTCTGAGTCTGAGGTGATCCAGTTCCCTTTCCTTGGAGCCCGGTCAGGGTCTTGACACTTTGTTGAATTCAAAGCTTGGTTAATGCTCATGATTTGATCATTTTTCAATGAAGATGCTGTTGAAATTGATGTGTAGGCAGAGGAAGTGGTGGAGCAGCTTTCCAAATCCCATCTAAAGCTGATCTTCGGCGAATCGTTGCTAAATTGATCATCATCTGGTACTGCCTTCAGAGTTCCACGGTTTCGAAATTGCATAACCTGAATGGAACAGCATCATTTTAAGCCCACAAGTCAGCAACTAAGAAATTTTAACTTCAGGGTTATGAAACTCCATCTAGAGCTGATATTGCTAAATTCTGTATAATTTAGCCTAACTAGAAAGCATGTAACTTTCTCTGATTTCCCTTTAGAATTGACAACATTCACATTTTACAGTTTTACTTCATATCTGGTTACATTTAATTTCGATCATTGATGGCTAGAAAATATCACAGCAACATATGGTTGCAGCACCATATCAATAGGTCCAGCTAGTACAAAATATCTCTACATGTTAAAAAAAAGACTCATAATGTTAAGGGAAGAAAAAAAAAAATAGTACCTTTCGGGCAATAAATTTTCCTCCCTTCTCTGATTTTGCAGCAGCAGCCCATCTCAATAGCTCCTTCATTCTTGACATGGTTTTGGTTTTGTCTCCCTTAACCCTTTCTTTCTTTTCTGATGTGCCACATTGTTCATTTGTGTTCATCGAGGTTGTTAACGTTGAATCTGTCACTGGTAACACCTTGTTGCCTACATTTGCCGAATCTGCCTTGGTACTAATTCCCAGACCTCTTGCAATATCTTCCTTCTTCATCTTCATGGATTGAATCCAACGCTGCCTAGCCTGCCTTCTATTTATGCCACCAAGTCTCTTTAACTGAAGAGTGCTATAAAAGCAAGCCTTTGCCACATCCTTTCCACGTAGAAAGGCAAGTGGCTTGAACTTCTTACTACCTGATTTTCTCTCTTCAATTCCTTTGAATTTCCGATACACACCAACACCGCCACACTTAAAGACAATTATGTAATTTGGTTTAGCTTCTTGATCTGAAATGAACATAAAAAGTACATAAGTCAAAACATGGTCTTAATATAATGGTTTGGAAAAATTGGATGTGAAAAGTTGAAGTTTGATCTCTTACCATTAGTTGTTGCTTTCTTGTTGGTAGAACCAGAAGTGTCTTCCCTTGTTTGTCCATTTGTAGCTCTAAAGAGCCATTGAAAAATCTGCTGTGTTATAAGTCATCAAGAGAGACATCAGTTTTGATGCAGATGCAAGCTAAGCATTTGTTTGACTAAAAATATTTACACTGTTTTACCTGCATGATTATGCTTGTGTTTAGAGCC